GGCTACCGTATGCGAAAATAAACCGGAAAATATGAAAAATAAATGGAACGAGCTCACCAGAGAAAAGTTCCAAATATCCGGCGCTGAGGTTGATCCGGATTCGGGGTCACCAATTTAGAGGGTCGCCTGTACCGGGAGCCCAGAGAGTGATTCCAGAAGACAGATCGAGTTGCAGGGAAACTTTTATTGGTACAGTAAAAGATTCCCTGTTATCTAGCTATAAAAGAACGACACCGTGGACGCTCTAGCTAGGGGAACGGATCAAGCACAGCACACAGGGCAGTTGCGCGTTGCAACCGAAACGAGCGCCAAGCAAAAAAATGGCGGTGAGCAAGTCAAGCATTCGAACTCAGCAATCAGTTCAACAAGCCACACCGGTTGCCTAGGTGTACAATGAAATAATTTTAGTTAGAATTTTACACAGGCAAACCGGGGAATCTCCAGACTGCTACAATATTCACCCTTCAAGTGTACATTAAGCATATCCTTGACATAACTTGACTTGTGACATTTACCAAATTGTACGATTGGATTGCGACGCAAAAACCTATTTGGGACCATTTCCCGATATGAATTGAACCGGGGTCAATTAAACACAGGTACCGTAAATAATTTGTTTTGCTCGTAAGTGAATATTTGTTTGCCTTCGGTATACATCAAAACAATGATTAGAGCTTCAAAGTTCACGGTAATTCTTGTTAATAATGCGCGCAAAATTTAGTGCATTTGTTTTTCATCAGATTGTTAGTCATGCATTGTGTTCCCTTATTTATTCAATGATGCAAAAAGTGATGAGCTTGTAGAAATACATCTCATAAGATACTGCAACTCAATGTTTTCAGCCAGCTAAGAGCATCATTATCATCAACAACAGTAAATCAGCGGTCTAAACGGAAGCTTTACTGTTATATAACCGAAATTATTTATGTAAGGTAGAATAATTGGTTGGTTGGACCCAGTGTAAAATCTTTGTCCCATAAGCAAACATTCAGGATCAGGTCGCTAACATCTTTCCAACAATGTTTCTTCACAAGCAGCTGGATATCGTGCAAAGACAAATCGGCATCTGCAAAACAGCTTTCTTACGCCTTTTACTGCCTTATAAACAAGTTTTACATATATATAACTTAGAAAAGCATGCAGAACAGTTTACGGAAAGATTTTAATGACGCACATGATAATCTTTACTTTCTCTGCGGAATTGAGTTTGGAAAACTGGTACCATTTTTATAGATGGATGTCATCCGTAGCGCAGACCAAACTTGCATCAGAAAGATGCACAGAAAGCGCATTTGGACTTGGCGAAGTGCTAGAATCTATGGCACAATAACACTGCGGTATACGAGGAGTTTAGTCCGATCTGCTACTCTTAGGACCCTCAAAAGCTGCACAAGCAACACCATCATGGAAGAACCTTAGTTGATCAGCAACGAAGTATGAGAAAATATTTACCCAGGCAAATTCAGCATGAAGCTTTTTAAGGAGTAGCATTGCTCCTAAGAGATAATTTTTCATGCGCTTGCTACGTATGAGCAATTCTGTCACTGACATCTTATCCAGACGCCCGAACGATGCCATCAAGAATACGCATTTCGCGGCCTGCTTGAATATTGTTTATCACAATAAGTTCTTGTATGCAAAACTCCTACCAATTAGCCTTTCCGTTATGTTCTCGCTAATTTTGTTTATTGTTACCCGTGCTCCTGTGATGCGCGATACTTTGGTAAAACTACAAGTCTATCTCGAAGGATTCGCAAACACATCCCGGCGTGGCTCTAAGAAAGGGAAGCAATGTCCTTACACAACCTCGTTATGTCGCATCTCCGTGATTGTGCCCAAAGGTTGCTGAGATTTATTTCACGTTCATACACTAATTGCCTGAAGGCTTTTCGGCTGGTTTACTCAAGCAACTTCTGCCTACTGGCGAACCTATTTTTATTCACTATCTGTAGCCGGAACAGTGTGTGTAAATCCGTACATATGGCTGATGGTATTAATGGGGCCTATAGATAAAGCTACTAACACATTTGATTATTACCTGAGCCACTTATTTCTGCTCATTTTTTGATGTATCAATTTTTCCTTGTTCTTCTAGCTTTTCATTTATCGTCCAGCCTTAAGTTAAGTAGTTGGCTATTATGGTAGCTTAGAAATCAGCCACAGCCAGAGTTGACTTATATAGCGCGTAATCCCTGGTATGTACACGTTTAGGTCTCCTGAGAGTTTTTAATAAACAATCCTTTCTAGCGTTGATTTACTCAATTAAAAGTTGTTTAAATAAATGGTTGTCGAATACACTTGTTTACAGCAAGGAGCCGGCCCCAGTGGTGTCTGTGTCCTGAGTTACTTTGTCCATCCACTCTCGCTTAGTTTCACCCTCCAACCACGATCTCATCTATTAAGCTTAACATAACTTTTTGCGGCGCAATAGCCGGAACGATGTCAATCCGTTGCTTGTGACTCAGCCGGCATACCTCACTTACATGTAACGTTGCTTGTCTTTTGCATTGCGGCACAGTAGCCGTGTTGTTCTATACTTGCAGCTAGCGTGTATAATAAATGATGAATGTTGCTTGACTGATTGTAAATAAGAATAGCTAACTTAACTGCATTAAAATTGGGCTACATATTCTCGATGCTGGTATGATCTGTCTGCAAATGCTCTGCTGAGCATTAGGTAATTTTAACAAGCGTATAAATTCTTGTATAAAGCTAAATTAAACATCTTTCTCCTTTAATTGTGTCCGTTTTCAGCCATCGAACATTTACTTTTCAGAGATCCGTTAACCTTTTAGTTGTTCTGTCAAAGTATCAGCATCTTTGCTCACAGTGCCGCTACACTACATTTTCTTTACGCAAGGTTTCGGCCTACTTTCTGCAGAGTACGTTCGGGGATAATTGAACCTCTGTGACAAATTCAGCTCGCCAACTACGTTTGGAAAATCGTTCGGAATACTAAAAGCTTCTACGCGCAGCCTGTCCACCGTTTGTGCAGCCCAGACTTCGAGAAGTATCCTTTTATTACACCCAGCAGAACACCGTATTCGAAAGCTTTTCGAAAGAAATGATCTCGCTCTCGGACTGCAAACAACCAACAAATGCACCTCGAAACCATATACACGGTTATGCAGGGGCATTGTCGTAGATGTCATATGTAGGTCGTGCTTTTCCCAAATTTTGCTAAAAGCAAAGTGGGAAATTGCGTCTAATCGCTGCATGCACATTCCCTCGTTGATGATACCATACGTTAGCATTTGATCGACGTTGGAGAACTCTTACTTGCACCCCAACATGAATCCTCATAATCAGCCAGTCAATAAACTCGTGCAGCTGATTAACCGGCGAGCCTTCCTGATGTTCTTAGCACGCACGTCATATATTGAATCCTGCGTTATTGAAGACAGAGAAATAAAGTCATACAACTTCATCAAGATGCGATCAGGAATGGTAAACATTCTTCATCGTTTGCCGTAAGCGACTCATTCCTAATGCTCTACCTTGAAACGGCATCAATATGGGAATTATATTATCGGCGGGGAAACCATTCCACAACCGGACGTTTGCAAAATACGCGTCCAGAAGCGTCTATTGTTTTTGGTGGAATGCTCCAAATACTCATCGCGCGCCGTTGCAAATACAGCGATTCGGTGAATCGACTCAAATCTGGCACTATATATCTGTGCCGGTGGTTGTGTCTGCTGTATGGTGCTCGCAGGTAGAGCAGCGATCTAATTGTGGGGATGTCGCCGAAGTGTAACTTAGGATAAGTCATGAAGAGGCTGCTAAAAAGCTGTGACGGCTAGTAAGGATATACAATTTAAGACTTTCGTACTGCGCTTCGTATGGTTTGCTCGTAAACTGAGGATACCTTGGTAGTGGCATATTGGACTCTTTCGATTTGTGGCACATCGTCTCGTGTGAAGGAACTGTAAGCGGATAAGCCACCATTTAGCAGGTGTTTTGCACTGCGGCCAGTACAGTTAGCGCGCATTAGGGAATCAGACAACGGAGGCATTGACAGATACAAGTGACAACATGGCGTTAAACTACAAACTTGTGATAACTTGAGGAAGTTGTCATTTATTGATGGTACATTCGCTTTGCCACTTTTATTAGGCTGCCTATCTCGGTTGCCAGAATTTGGTAATTGGTACCAGTTCAGGATATGTGCGCAAAGTTATTTATTAACTGGTTTCCAACCTCCATGTACTATATTGCACACACGATTGCAACGACCATGTTTCACAACGTTAAGTGCACGCAGACATAAATTTCAGTATTCAGTCCACTTGAATCCCGGTATTCTGTAAATTTTCTTTGCAACGTCGTATTTTATCTGATTCCCTTTGGTGAGTATAGACAGTCGGTGAGCGCTATAGATTCATGTAGAACACTTAACATTATTCTCTTTCAGATATTAATAAACTAGCTAAAGTAACTGCATCTATCTCCAGAGGTAGCAAGCTTAAGTTCAATGTGGACTCGAACATTAAGAGAGTCTTGTGGATGTTCCCTTTTGAGTGCGTCGTTGAGCTAGTGTCCGTATCAACATTCTGGATAAAACAGTTCCGTACGTCAAGACCTAACGCAGACATTATGTTGAAATCGACAGCAGTGTAATTTGCAAGCATTTACCGTGGGTCTACTATTTGAGGGCATGTGCCTGTACACCCTGGAGTAAGTGGTTCTTAATCAACTCGTGCACACCTATGGAAATTTGACCACTTTTATACCTGAAGCTAATCCGCTCATTGCATGTAATGATGCTGATGGTCTCGTTAGTAAACTAGTTATGGACAAAACTGACCTGTTTGGATCTATCTGAGATGGTTTGAGAAGGAACATGGTTGTGTTTATGATTGTGATTAGTAACTTAAGGAATAAATCCTATAGCAGCAACTTCAAAACATCGCTTCTTTTGCTGCGAAAGGCTATAGGGATTCCCGAATGCAGAGCTACATCTTGAAATGATTGAATCAAGTTTTCTGCCTTTTTTATAGGTAGTCGAGAGGCCAATCAGTCAGAACTTTGGAGGCATTGGTAGACAAGTGGATAGGAACTCAAAGAGTGCTCCCCAGCTATCTACCTTACGGGGACAACTAACCTCAAATGGCATCCCCTACGCTAAAGTCAACCAGTGGAGCTCTAAGTCCCCTCAGGTCCAGCACCATAGCAATGGATTTTTCCAGCGCTGATCCAGCAATATCGCCATCCACCACTTTCACTGGGCAGCGCAATTTCCTGGATAAAGTGAGTCATTCGCTCTGGCCTCTCTCTCTCTACAGCATGCAGACGGTAATGTTAATATACACAACAAGTTGGTCTCGGAATTACACACTTTCTATTGGAAGCAACCTACAAAGATAAACAATCCCATGATTATGGGGATACACAATCTTAGTCACGCAGGTAAGTTTATTCCGATATCTCCAGAAACACAGCTATCCAGTAGGGATAACCGAATACGTACACCGATGAGATTTTACAAAGCCTGGTTTTTACTGACATTACAAACTGCACAACACTTGGCAAAATTGAGTGAACAATGCTTTGTACTACTGGGATGGGTTTCACTACAAGCTGAGTAACTTGTTCAAACGTCAGGTTTGCTTCCTCGCTGATGCTCTTTTTATGATATAGCCACGAAGCTGCACTATTTTATTTTAGTTAGCTTGATCTATAATATTAATACGCAGGCTGTTAGTAATAATTCCAATAATTGTCACATTTCCTGTCAAGTGAGAAATTGGTTGTATTATGATCTTGGGTGGGCAAAAGATAGGGGCGTGGTTTCTTTGTCACTTATGCTCATATCTTACTGTAAAGTGGATGACATTGGTGGGTTTCGGAGATCTTGCAATCATCACGGAACAATGGGACAATGATATGATGGGGTAACAAGTCTAGGTCTTGACAAGCCCAGTAAAATGGTATTTGTGAAACGAATGGCTTTGACACAGAATTTGCCATAGTAAACCCAGCGCCTGTGAACTCAGCATGGCTTTCACATTAATGCAAATGTAAATCCACTTACTTGAGTCTCATTGAGGGCTCGTGAGTTCAGTGAAAGTTTACATTTCGTCGTCAACCGATGAACGCGAGTCATGTTATGTACTGCAAATGGTGTACTGCAGCGTTGACTCGTGTTTTCTGAAAATGCGTAGCATGGATACGAAAGTTACAACGGTCGGAAGAGCGTTCTATCACAAATTCAGATCTAAAACCTCAGGCAGCATTCTAGCAGTTTGTATTGCACGGCTATTTTTAACTGGCGGCCATTACATTGGCGATATGATTAAGCTTCAGCATGGGGCGGCACAAGTGACTGGGATTGTTTAAAAGCTGCTAGAGCATAAGGAAGTCATCCCGTAGAAAATAAATTCCGTTGTACATTGCCGAAGCTTCAGTCGCAGTTTGTACTGTAGATGAACTAGACCCTTTATGTTTTCAGTTGCCCTTAGTTCTGGGATTACGACTGCAGCCAGACTGCTTTTATACCATGGTTATTGGGCCTGAATTTCGTACTTCACGTGCAGCCTCACGTACGCGTCGAGCATTTGTAGAAAGATGGAAGTGTCGAATATTTTGACTGCAATCCGTAAAAGATCAACATGTTCGTTCCTACTAGTTGGCATCTTCACATTTTGTTTCGAACAACTGAAGTCATCCGGCATCATTCAGTCAGGCTCTTGCTCCCGTGAGGCGGCCTTGACGATATGGTACCCCTGCGTATATTGCTGATGACATGGATGAATCGCTTTTAACTTCACCGAAAGAGACGGGAATATATTCTTTTTTAATCACCCGTAACTATGGTTCAAGTCTCGTTGTAGCAGATTGCATTCTTGCCCATAACTTTTTGAACACCATATATTGCCACGGTCTTTGAAAAGCGAGAAACTTGACTCGACGAAACGTGTGAGGTTATTGATAAAGACCAGAATTACGCGCGCAAACCAGAACGGACCATTGTGTGGCATCATATCCTCCTCCATCGGATCAGCCACTGAACTCACACGCGCAGCTTTCGCAGAGTGATGTTTCCAATGCAACCAAGGGAAGGCCTCACAACTCCGTAGATATGCTTCTCATGATGTAGGACGCGATGCCCCAAACGGTCAAAGGCCTTGGAAAGTTCAAAATGATTACATTGATTTCGGTCTCACTATCCGTTGTTCCGTTTCAACTCTCACGTACAAAACCCGCTTGGTGACACATGACCGGTGGTGTAGGAAACCGTGTTGCTATTGTGATATGGTGCTGGATTTTTCCAACTGGTGCATAAGAGCGCCTGCAGTGGTCGATCCCATTACCTTTAAGAATACTGAAAAAAGTCAAACTGCATGGTATTTCACGGGTACTGTATGGTTGACCGCTGCCCTTGGTAACCATTGTAAGTTATTCCGGCTGATACGGGCGGGGAACGGGCAGTTGGAGACCTGGTGTTAGTGAAACTCTACGTGACGAGAGTGGACAGCCAATACATAACTTGTCAAAACACTTGGAGCGTTGAGCTGAACACTTTCTGATGCAATTTAATCGGTCGGAATTGTTAAATTTCTCGCCGTTCACTGATCGCCCCGCTCTGTGAGCTTTCCCTTTGGATCCCCCTCTCGCTCGCAAGTCTAACGGCAGATCGCACTGTTGAGGTTAAATAAAACCGCGGGACCAGATGATCTTTCTTCAGCCCTTTTCGAATTCGTGGGTCCTGCTCTTGTGAATGATTTCTACGAGCCACTAGTGAAAATGTGGGAGCAGGAAACTGTCGCATCCGACTGGAGCCTCTCCGTCATAGTCCCAAATTTCAAGCGAGGTTTACAATCGGAATGTGGCTATCATAGAGGAATCAGTCTGATCTCCATCGCCTCCAAACTGCTTGCCTCTATCCTTCTTCACAGACAAATTGGCACTCGTGAAAACCATATTCGTGAAGAGCAAGCCAGGTTTCGTCGAGGTCGTGGCTGCATTGATCTCATCTTTACTTTGCGTCAGTTGTTGGAGCACCGTCACATATTGTCGGCCCACCCTAGTCGTGTTCCTCGATATCAAAGATGCATTCGATTTGATGGATAGACGTGCACTTTGGGACTGTCTACTCAAAAATGGTATACCCGAGACATATGTAAATATTATCTGAGCGTTATACGCGCGAATCTCGGACAGAATGAGGGCTTACGACCAGCTGTCGTCGCCCTTCAATATCTCCAGCGGTGTGAGAGAAGAATGCCCGCTGTCCCCTTCCCGCTTCAACTTTGCTATTGATGAAGTCATGGAAATCACATTCACAGGAAACGACTTAGAAAGTCTGGATATGCTCCCAGGAGAGCTACTTCTTGACTTAGTGTATGCTGATGATATTGCCCTAATCTGTGAAAGCTCACAAACGTGCCAAGCTGCACTGGACAGATTAGCACTAGCTGTCCGTCACTTCGGGCTTTGCTTTGCACCCTCGAACTGCAAAGTGTTCCTCTGAAATTGGCCGGGTCCGCCTCCTACACTGACTCTTGTTGGGTATCAGCTAGAAGTCGTTCAAAAATTCAACTACCTGGGAAGTTTTATCAGCGCCCGTGGGATTGAAGGTGAGATCGCGAATCGTATAGCAAAAGCTCGAGGCGTTTTAGCGTACCTTGTCCACTTATGGAGCCGGCGCGACATCACTCTCGCCCTGAAGGGTAGAGTGTACAATGCAGCGGTATGTTCGACGCTACTGTACGGTTGTGAAACCTGGCCCTTTAGATCAGCGGACATAAAGAGCCTAGTTGCGTTCGACCATCGGTGCCTTCGCAGTTTGCATCACATCTGGTGGGAACACCGCATGAGCAACGAGCGTGTTCGACGCCTTGTTTACGGCACAGGGAAAGGAAATGAACCGCTCAGCACCATTATGTCACACACCAGGCTCCGATGGATCGGCCACGTGTTACGCATGCCAGCCCACCGACATCCGGGACGTGTATTGTTTGCGCGACGGGGGTGAGGAAGGAAGAAGAGGAGGGGTGGCCAGACGATGACTTGGTCGAGAGGAATGAAGGCCCTCACTTCGAAGCAGGCTTCGGTTAGAGCGTCTCGGCTCCCTGGTTGGGGTCCGAAAGACGATGAACACGTTTGGCTGGTTACACTTGCTGATATGGCTAGGAGTCGACCTCAATGACGTTCGTGCTGTGAGTTTCTTTGTCCAACTCCATCCCTATTAGCCTCCCCCTCCAACCACGATCTCACTATTTAGCCTTATGTCATTTTGCATGGTACTTTTTTGCTGCGTAGTAGCCGGCTGGCAGCTTACCGGAACGATGCCCATCCTTTACCGGTAGCACAGCTGGCTTTCATCTGTACTATTTTTTCTGTTCTTTTCTTTTATGTATTGCGGCGCAGTAGCTGAGACGTTTCCCACCTCTAGCTAACGTGTCTAATGATCAATGACTACTTCAGTAAGGTCTAGTGTACCCCGATGTCAACTATCATAACATCCTTTATGTCTGGGTATCTGTGAATAGATATCCTTCTGGTATGAAGTGGGTTAGCAATGTTAGGCTTTCTGTAAAATAACCTTACATCCTGGACGTTTCATCGATAGTCAGAAGGTGAGTTCCATTACATCCCTAAGTGCACCTCTGTTGTGGCAGACATTCAGATGCATATGTTGCAAGAAAAAGATGGAGTGGGCACAAGCACTCTGTTAAGCACTCTGCTCTAATACAAATACAGTCGGATTCGGCATGAAAATATTTACGAGTTCTAATTGGTGCCTACCACAATCCCAAGCACCTGATGGAGAAGGCTGCATCCATAATGCCAAACTCTCCTTACAGTCTCTTATTGCTTTTCATCCGAGTTAAGTTTGACCACTGGAAGTAGTCTGCATTAGATTCTTGCCTGAAATAAACAAGACACGACTATTTTACATACACCATTGGCGGTGACACAGCTGTCGAGCGAGATAAATTTGGTCACGGACTGGCTTAACCGCTGACGTAATTCTGACCATTAAATCGATCATCGCAGGTCAGCAACGTGGACGGTGTTTGACTAAGAATGCGTTCCTAGGGCAATTTCCATTTGAGGCAGGAAGTCATTCACATCCTCATTCATTTGGCTGATCACTCAGCTAGGAAGGACTGGATGTTATGAATTCGGCAACATTTGCATTCTGTAATAAGTATATCTATGTACAACTGTAACGATATTCTTAAATGCTAAGAAAATTAATCGGAAACGCATTGGACTCATCCGGCATACCTCTCTTCTTCCAGATCGTTAACAAAGACACTTCTGCAGAATCGAATGCAAAATTTGACCTGACCACAAACTATCATTCTGATCGACCGTGTATATGCCAACAAAGCAGCATGGGGCCGGACTGCTACTGCAGCAGCACAGCGAGTACACTGAAGGCTTCGTCGCTTAAGCGGAGAGCCATCGCGGCTTTGCGCGTCCACTTTGACCAGAACCATGCCACATTGGAGCCGCAAGTATGTTATTTCAATGCGATTAATAGAAAGCTGGCTAATTGTCAAATCATTGCTTTTTTGTATAGTTTATATATATAGCCACCAGCATTTATGGCTCATAGTTTATTGGTATTGGGATGTGCTCAGTAGCTAATGCTACACAAAATGGATGGATCGGGATATATCTCAGTTAGACTTCAATTCGTGCTGTTTGGCTATCGCCTCTCTGGCACGCTGGCATAAGCTGCCAGAAAGTGGCGCAAATAACCGACACTCATATGTTTAACCCCTGCAAGAGACCGGGGGAATGCGCGCCATTAACAAGTCCCAACAGGCAGAAACGCCCGTCTGATGCTTTTTCAGCTTGGTAGCTTACCTAGGGGGCTTGTAGTGTAATTGCGATGTACCTAATAAATGCATACCCAGTCCGTCTTCTCATCAGTAAACAAAACGTAACCTTACGATTCCTCAAAATGCTGCGTAGATTTACGGCACTGGCAAGCGGAGTGCTTACCCGGACGGCCAATCACTGTCCTCTACACCGACATAAGCCTGTATGGCAGTGGAGGATCGGTCAAGCTATACCGCAGTTAAATTTCAATCCGTACTAGCTGGTCATGTGGCCTTCTATATATCGCGAACGTGCTGACTTCAAGGCCCAGATGCTCGACTCAAAACAGAAGTCGAATGACGTCAACAAGGAACACTCTCTTCGGAGGAAGGAAACAAGGTACATGCGATACGAGTTCCTGGGTTTACAAACTTCCACCAGTTGGCATTGAAACAGGAAATGTGGAGCAATGTCCTAAGTTAAGCCAAGGTCACAACTATGAGATAAGCGAACAATCTTCCAGCCGGAATGCTGGACTTGTGTTCGACCGCTTTCTTTAGGGTCTGTGTCTCCTAACAGTCGGCAATTGTCCCCCATGGCTCAGTGGCGTAAGCTATTGGTTAGTGTTGCAAATCACCGGCAGTCTTGGATTCGATCCCCACAGAGGACCGAGGGATGTGCATCACTGACGCATCCCAATAAGGCAAAACGGTTCTCTGTCGCTTTTCCGTACTGCTACTTCACCTATGCGACTTGCGATGAACCAACGTATATGGGCAATAATTTTTTGGCATTTTTCAAAGGAAGCGGACGGAATCATAACAACTTTGGTATCTCATTTCTTAAGGCATATATATATGTATATTTATGTATATTTGACAAGGTGCCTACCTGTACATATATATATATATATATGTGTGTATATATGGTTGGTGGCATCCGGTTTCGGATTTGTCTGTCTCTGTGGCCAGCCACAGCTTCTATTCTAAGCGCATCTGGCTTTTGTGGGTGGCCAGTAGGCATGATAGCGGTATTCAACCGGTAGCTTACAGCGCAGGGTTGAGGGTGTTGGGAGGAGCAACACCGAAAGCTTTACATTTCGGATACGATCCGTGCAGTCGGAATGACCGAGGTCTACCCCAAAGTTAACCAAGGTCTTAGTAGAAGTTGCGTGTCGCAATCCAACGACACAGCGGGTTCCCGAACTCCAACGTTGAGCGTTGAGGGATCTTACGGATTTCTGGATGTGCCGTCGTTATCATACAATTTATTGTGGCGGTGGTGGTAACAACTAACCTTTTGTTTAAGAAAACGGAAGCAACGCTAATATGAGTACATTCGTCATCGAAGAACCTCCGCGGCATATACCTTATGCATTAGGCGAAGTTGCACTGACTACATGCAAAGCCATTTCCAATATACTGTCATGCATTACTGAAAAGGTAAGTGACGGTCAGAGTAAATGCAGTCATAGATTTTTTCCAAGAAGCACATATTGGCAGGAAGATGTTCCGATGATGCAACAAGGGTCCATTCCAATTGGTTCCAGTAACAAGTACCGAAAAAAATAACGGAAGGCTATTTTGTCTTTGTGCTGCTGCTAATACAATGTTGAACGAGCAGTCAATATTTAAATATAATGTGGCAATACTTACGCATATGCTGGAACGTAAATAATCATCATCATCATATCATTATACACATCAGCTAGAGGTGGAAAAACACCTCCGCTATTGTGCCGCAATACATGAAAGAAATGGTTGGCGGCATCCGGTTTCGGATTTGCCTGTCACTGTGGCGAGCCACAGGACGTTTTCGCCTACAGAGGGACCATGGATGGCTTGCGCTGCACCACCCACAGCTCCAACCACACACCCCATATCCAGTGTAAACCCGAAGGAATAAGACCGGGAGGCATGCGGATGGGAGCCACGTTTCATCAACGGAGCCGGCCCACACTCCTTCACAGGCAAACACAAGCACGCTGTATTTGGGGAATCAACCGCACACAAGGCGGTGGCTGGACCGTAGTCCGCTCCACACTGAGTGCATGGAACCACTCTTCGAGCCTAGCACGACCACAAGGACCGTGCGCCCCGTCCCCTCCAGCAACGACCAACTGTCTCCTGGAGCCAGATGGACGAGGTAGTGGGTAATAGACAGGTAGGCACCTTGTCAACATGCACATCAAGCGCAGCCACACCTGGGATGTCAAACAACAGCCAATCATTCGAAATGCCGATATCGAATAAAGTAAACGCATATGACGACATAGATACTCGCTGAATGAGCATATGGAAGAGTGGTTAAATGTAAATACGCGATACGTACAAAATGTCCGAAAGTTATTTAAAACATACCACGCGAGAAAATTACGCAAGTTTGCCACAATTTGATACAGGTAGTCCACTACGTTTATTTGCAGATATTTGTGTCATCTGTACGTCATCTGTTTGACCATGCCGATCATTTCGGTCTCGCCCACCACGCCAATGCGGCTACTGAACACCTGCTCTATCTGCACTCAGCGTGTAGGACCTCGTTCCAAAGCCATCACCTGCTCGATCTGTCTTCACCGTGTTCACGCTCCTTGTGACAACTCGCTCCATGCAGCTGACATCGAATTCTGTCGCTCGCATCCACAGATGGTCCTGCGGTACATTTGCCCGGGTTGCATTCCCAGAATTGCGAACTACGTGCGGGATATTTCTTGCGACCTTTCCTCAACGACTTGCCCTATGGTTGGTTCTGTAATCTCGTCTCCCACTAACCCGCCCTCCACACCGCGTAACAAGCATTCGCAGACGCAGTCGCCCCGGTCACCACGATTCGTTGAGCCGCCTAGCAACAATGCTCGCTCAGAAGTGCGCTTGCTTAATCTGGAAGAACAGCTACAGAATCTATTGCGGAAAAGTCGACGGTCTAACCAAACGACGACAACAACCTCCCAACCGTCCTGAATCACGTACCGTCTCACCGTTACCAACTGCTGGTCTGCCCAACACTTGCCGACGACCAACGCTTCCGACGGAGGCCCGCCCACCAAGTAAGCTTGCTACCGCTTCACATCCGCGTTCGTCTAGGCGAATAACGAGTAGCCCTGCTCCTAATTCTGTCATATGTACAAACGTGCCCGAGTCCAACGACCCGCAACTTCAGAATCGACATTCTCATGATTCCACTATGTGGAGCTCAATCTGTACCGCGTTAAACCTCCCTGAAACGAAACCCATTAGTCTCACAAGACTGACTCGCCACACTTCATCTCCGAACGCCGGTAAGCCAAGACTTCTGTGTGTTGACTTGCAGCCAGGCCCGGCTATGGAGGATGTCCTATTGTCAGCACACCTACTCCGAAACAATGAGTCTCTCGGCGTTTACCAAATTCGTATCTTCCCCGACATCCCTTGGACTAAGCGCGCTGCGCGCAGACAGCAACTGACGCCACCCACTCAACCATTCTCCATCATTGTGCATGGCGTCCCAGAACTGCATGCTCTTGACGCAACCTTACAACAACGACAACAGCATGACTGTAATCAATGGCGGTTCCTTCAGCAGACACTAAATATTGTCAACGTAATCACAACGGACGTTCACCGCCTACCTCGTCCAGCAACTTATACAGGAATAGCCCCCCGTCTTCTGAAAGTGACATTCCTCACCGCTAGCATGGCAACCGATGCACTCACCATCTGGTATGCTAATAAAAGACGAGCACCACCAGATATCCGTCTGCGTCCAGATGGGCACCCGGTGCCGAGGCGCACAGCTTCCCACAGACCCCTGGTAGCAGCAGCAGCAAACTCGGTACCGACACACTCTGACCAGATCGTCCTCAGTCGGTCCACCACCGAACCACCTGCCTCAGTACCTGGAGAACTTTACTCACCTACACATTCCAACCTTCAGACTTTCAACGACCCAGCCGCCAGCACCCATCTGGGCTCCGACGACCCACACCTTGTTTCCCCAACTACAAACCTTAGCGGCTCCACCCCCCTAAACCAAAAAACGGTGCACTGCCGGTCATCTGCTGACCGGCAGCACCCTAGTTACTCCCGCGCTCATCACCCAAACGGGCCTCACCTGTATCTACACGAACGCACAGGGCCTCATGTCCAAACTTCCGGAGCTCCAATTCCGACTTCTATCAACACCAGCGGACCTAATAGCTATAACGGAAACGTGGCTCTCCGTGGCTCGGCGACATAACCGACGGTGAAATCCAACTTCCTCACATGTCAGTTCTCCGCTCTGACCGCGCAACCCCAGGTGGCGGTGTCGCACTGTACTATGACATCTCCCTCAGCTGCAGCATGTTAACAAACACCTCCCTCCAGTCTCCAGACACCATGTGGTGCGAGGTCGTACTAACCGCCAAACACTCCAGCTGTCTTGGTATCATTTACCGCCCCCCAAACAACTCTCCCGAGAAGGATGCACGACTACTGCACGACGTCCACCTTATGTTATCCCACAAGCGCACACACTTTCTTATCATAGGTGATTTCAATCTGCCCCGTCTATTTCACTCTGTCCCGTCTACTAACTCCTTTGCATCAGGCCTCATTGATCTTCTTCACACGGCCCCCGTTGTACAACCACACGTATCAGCCGACCAGATTCCGATCCAACAACCAACCGTCCCTGCTAGATCTCGTCCTCACTAACGAAGAACTGATGGTTG